TGCTGCTCTCCATGCAGCCCTCTAAGTGGCGAGCACCCCGTTGGTGCTCCACCGCAAGCATACTAAAATGTAGGATTTCTAACAATCCAAATATGTTAAGCTATATATTTTAATATCATATTGTAAATATAACACTCTTAGAAGTTCTTTATGTAGTCACAATCCTTGAATATATCAGAAGATAATGACACTGCTACTTGTACCGGTGGCAAGTTAAGGTGTAAAGAATAGTTAAAGTTAATTGATTTTCTTTTTATGAGTTGTGAAGTTCAGAACTTCAGACACGGGCATCTGAGAGTCTTTTCTCAAGAAATGATAATGTTGTTAGTTACTAATTATGCGTTAATTATCTCTCAGCATGATTAAATATTCTGAAACATCTGAATCCTTTTCATTGATGGCGATCTGAAAGTCAATACTTTATTCGTAATCCAACCGCCACTATGGAATACCACCGTTCCATAGAGCGAGATCTGGGTAGAAGTAATTGCCTGGTGTGTTAATTCCTAAGAAGTAACAGTTAATGATGCTACAAGGTCCTGAATGACAAGAAATACCATATTTTCCTCACATAAAACATACACATTTCCCCTCCTCACCCCCCCCAAATTGTCAGGAGGAAATTGGGGTGCATATTTTATGTGGAAGAAATATGGATCACTAGGATTCTGGAAATTTGGTGTTGGGGGGTGGTGGCACTGTTAATCGCCACCGCTCTGCTACTTCTCCCTTCCTGTTAAATTTCTGCAGAGTCCCCCAGCTGGATGACATGCCCGATGCACTGGATTGGGCTGGCATGCAGGGTCAGAGTTAGACCTGAAGCATGGCCCCAGGCATCAGTAACTTACCCATGCTGCATGGTAGATTTTTATTCCTTGCTGCCTTACAAAAACAGGATGTGTCATATTTCAGGTCCTGGTCCATACAAGAAAACATGATATTTCTTGCCACCACTTAACCCAATAGCAACTGACTTTTTGTGCTTTTATTATCATTTTTTTTGTTAATTTTAAAGCAAAAGAAGTTGGAAAATTTATTTTCCAAGTGCTACAATGTATTATCTTTAACATAATTTATGTATTGCTTCCACTATAAAAATTGCAATTTATTTTCAAAATTGTAATTAACCTGTGCTTTGTCTTTCCCCATTTCTCTGTTGGCTAGTGACAGTGTGCCTTGTTTAACCATTAGTTATTTTTTATTGATTATAGTGACCTTGAGGGAGAAAACGTATTAACAGTGCCAAGGAACCAAAGTCAGCCATAGGCAGCTCACTATATTTAAACTTAAAGTTACTCTGGATAATGTTTATTTCTGGGGGGAGAGGAACGTGTTGGTGATGGAAAATGTGCAACTTTTTTTAACAGTAAAGGAAGAGGAGAGTAGGTGATATGAAGTTCTCTCTGTTGCTGGCTGGTTTAGATTTCCTATAGACACTAGTTTAGAAAGACTATATATACGTTTTGCTACGTCTTAAGTAAAAAAATAAAATAAAAATGCAAGAGTGTGTGCGTGTGTGTGAACACTTGGATGTACACATCAGAACCTAGGGAAAAACTAGCTTGCCTTTTGTTCATGTTGCTTGGATATATTTAATCTTTTTTTATTAACTTGTTTTTGAAAAACGTATCAAGGATGCATTTTTTTGTTTTGTTTTCACAGTTTGTAACTTTATGTCTCATGAGAAGTGCCTCAAACATGTGAAGATTCCATGCTCATGTATTGCTCCAAGTCTTGTAAGGGTGAGTCAGCACTCATGTCAAATCTATTCAAAGCAACAGCTCCATGTTTTTATAGCTAAATATTGTTAATGTTTTAAAAAATCTGGCTGCTTAATCTAATGCTTTTTTAATATAAGCTAAGTGCATTATTTTTTAGTGAAATTTTAAAAATGTCTCCAAAGGTCAGCAGTTTTTTAAAAGTAGGATTCCTTTTGAACTTGCCTGGCACATGTAGTTATGGACAAACTGCCTTGAAAAGTGATTTGCATTTCTTAAAGTTTAGTAGACGTTGTCTAATAATGTGTCATTGCTTGTAAGAATTGAAATAATGGACTATGGTGACTGAATCAAACGAGATTCATTAATATACAATATTAAGCATAGCTTTCTGGGCAAGATTTTAGCACATTCTCTCATTTGTACACATTAGTGAGAGCATGTAAAGTCTTTGCTGTTTAGCAAGGAATTGGGTTTTTTTTCTTGTTTGTTTGGGGGGTGTTTACTTTTATAAGTTGTTGCATCATAAACTTTGCTTATTCTATTCCCTTACAAAACTGGAACAAATTTACTTTTGAAAAGGTTGAAATTTCAACATGCGGAGTTCTACTTTCTTTGTTTTAGGTTTTGACTTGGTAGTAATATGTTCAATTTCAGGCAAGACCTCTACTAGAAATCTAGCAAGATGCCTCATTTTTGGAACCACAGGATGATATTTTACATGTGATTTCACTTGCAAATAAATCTTCCTGCAGGATGGAAGAAATTAGTAAACACTGTGGAAAATAGAGCTCATCTATTTACAGTAAAGAAATGTCTCGTTACTGCCTTTACAAGGGTATGGGGCTTAGCCTTGTTGTTGTTCTGCCATTGCAGGAAGAATGTCCTGTTGGCTCACCCAGACTGTTTCCTGGGATGTCACAGTTCTTGGACACCATGGGTGTGTTCCCATGAGTGGGAATGTGCATTTCCCCAGGAACAAGTACCAATGGCATGTATTTGTTTTTGCCGTGCTGTGCTGCTAGTTTTTGCTGTGCAGTGCATTGCTGCACCACTTGTTTTTGCCGCATTTTTTTAGATACTGGGATTTCCTAGTATTTAATTTTGCTGCCATGCTGCAAATATGCAGTGTGGCAAATGGACTAATGTGCACCGCATACATGTTGTGGCACCTCAAAAGGCTTTGAGGCACCATGAACTGCACATTCCTGCTTGTGTGGATGTGTCCTGCGTGCGACAGAATAAGTCTTCCTGAAGAGCACAAGTCATTCATGACTCTTGAGAAATCTTTCTCTTTCTCTACATTCTGCCTTGCAAAAACGAAGTGTATTCCTTATTTGAGGATGTGTGGTATTCAAGAATGTATGATAAAATACTAACAAATCTAAGTTAAAGGCATGCAGAGATATTATGAAGGTCAGAGAAGCTTGAAAATGAGATGAGGTGGTAGAATGCCAGAAGCATAAAGTAGTAAAAAAAAGCATTAAGGAAAATCTAGAAAAATAAAACACAATTGTTTTAATGGCCATTTGAGTGAATCAGAGTAGGGATACTGAGTTACTGAGAGAGAACAGTAATCATGCAGTTTTGGGAACCTCTGGAATGAGACCCACCTGCTGCTTCTCTTGATGTCATTGATGTGTTTGCAAGTTGTTTGTTTTTTTTTATATATAAAGCCATTGAAACCCACCCAGAGTCGGTATTTTATGTAACATATATAATGGGCATATAGGAGTTAACTAGGACACTGGAGCTGGGGTTAGGATGTTGTCATGTCTAATTTTTGGATGGTGG